AACAACATTCAGTTTCACAAAACAATCTTAAGATCATGCTCTCGGGGTAAATCACTGCAGTGGTTTGTCTGAACTTAGAGGTAGGCATCCGCAGACCTGAGCTATACAAAAAGGCATCAGAGCCCCAAAATCCAGGGGCTGAGCTATATGATGGAGATGGCTAGAGTGCTCACATTTCCATTCTCTGCATGGTGCTTACTTCAGTCATGTCCATGCTCATAAGCAGTCACAACACAGTCCCATGGCACTGTTTGCTTGGTGTGGGTCTGTATCTCACCTTGCTACAACCACCACCAGTTCAGACCGAACACTGCCTACCTTGAGTGGTCTCACTGGTACCAGCAGTATCAAGGCTGTGTTTAAAATATCACATTCTTTTAATCCATCTCTACATGCCTCTAACACATACATTTATTGTGAAAATTAATACTTTTTTGGAAGAAGAAAGCAATATTATGTCTGCAACATTTATTTATAGTAATTGCCAAATGGTACTTTGGGGATTCTCCTTTTTTTTTAAATCAGCTAACGAGGGAGCAAATTCTCTATCAAAACTGTGAAACAGCTTCATGGTTCTTCTATAAACATTTTGGTGGCTCTGCAACTCTTGCTTTACTCTCTTCTTCCTAAGCCAGCCTGATTCTTTTTTCGGGTTTTTTTGGTAATCAAGACTTGCATTACAGGGAGGCATCAGTAGCAGGGGAAGATTTCTGACTATGTATTTTTGAGAGAGGATCTAGTTTTTGATGGCATTTGATATCTCTCTCCTGGAAAGAGAGCTGCTTCAGACCTTCCTGTTCTACAAAGTTTCCTGCTAGTGGCCCCACGTGGCTTGTTCCCACGGATGTTACATTTTGTGGACTGTGTTTGGCTGTTCCACCCAAGCCACTGAGTATAGGCTACTACTGTTACGGGGGTTTGCTCCCTTTTTCACCAAAAGATATTTGCCCAATCAGCTGGATGAACTTACCCTGCTGCCATGGGTTGTCTAGATCTGATGCAAAGCTGAAAGAACGGAAGAGAAAATGGGGCCAGGATAAGAGTATAAGCAGGAGTGCCCCATTCACAGGTAACCTGCCTTTACCCCTAGTGAAAGGGCAATGCCAAACTGCCCGCTGTGGCACATGATTTCCTCTCCCTGTAGTTTAGGGATTTAGATGGAGGGTTCTCAGTCCTTCTGCAGCTGTCCTCGTGGTGGCCGCCAGCCTGTGGGACAGATGGCCTGGCCATGCCACAGCTGCTGATCCACTCATGGCATCTTGGGGAAGCCTGGCACCACAGCTGGTTTTCTTTGATACACCCCACTGCCCTTTGCTCCTGCTCCAGGAGTAGCCCAGCCTTCTGGTTGGTCATGGGGCAGAGTCCTGGCCACTGGTTGGTGGTGAGCCATAGCCCTGGTCCCTGGAGTGCATCCTTATGGCACTGGGGAACAGCATCCCTTTGCAGTGTGCCTCCAGGTGTACAGATGCAATGGGAGATTTTCTGGTAGGAAAGATGCTGGTGCACCAGTGTGCTGCTCCACCCAGGATTGTGGATGCCAGGAGTAGCATGTTGATAAGAGCTTGTATTCGTGGGAAAAGATTGTGGGGCTATTTAATTCAATAAATGTCTCACTGACATCCTCACAACAGCTTCAGATCTATAAAGCTGCTTCAGTGAGCTCATATCCTGAATAAATATTGTGCAGTTAGCTTCTCCCTTGTGTACTAAAGTATGACAGCATGATGCCACATTGACAGGGAACCTAGCACTAGAAGGTTAAGCAGATTTTAAACAAGACCAGAAAGAGCACCCTGTTTTTCTTCAAGTTGGTTATCTGGGTATTTTCAAATTCCTGTGTCTGTGAGTGAAAAGCCTCCTGTGAGGGAGATGTGTGTTATTTTCTGGCCATCTTAAATGTCAAAATGAATTTTAGTTTGAAGTGTTTCATATCAAAAAATAAATGTCTGTTCTCTCAGCACAAGTATATCATGTTTTAGTGCCCATTGCTCTCAGGTTTTCAATTAGAACTTTGAATCACATTCCTGATTAGTAACAAGCAATCAATCATAATTAATTAGTTAAAATGTTCAACCGTTAAAATCATTACCATTAATTAAAATAATTATCTCTATTTTGGCTGCACTTCATTGCCATTTCAGGGAAATGTGTTGCTTAACTCTACCTTTTGCGCTCAGTATGGGATTGTGGTGACTGAAATGTGTATGACGGGTGCGGGCATGACTTTCAAAAAGCTGGCTTTTGTAGTATGGCTTTAGTTAGCTTTAAATAAACGTAAGAATTTTAATTGCTTATATGTTTAGTAAATATATTTCTCCTTAGTTTAAGAATATATCTAATAGTTGAAGAGATACAGTGTCTTAAGTGGCTATTTGAAAAAGAGCTGATAATTTTGAATGTGATAAAAAGTGATTGATTAGAGAATTGTTTCACTGTAGCTGGACATGATTAATACATTCACTACTCTGGTATGGTGATTACCAAAACTACAGCACTCCAGTACCTCCACAAGCCCCTTGCTCCCCAGCAGTCACTGCAGTGTCATGGGTAATGGTGTGAGACCTGGAGCAGCAGCACATGGTGGATGAAGAGCTTAGAGCTCAGCAGAGGAGGAAGTGTCTTCTTTACAACTACTTCTTGTGGTTGTAAACTTACTGCAAACCTTTCTGCTATTGCACAGTGTGCTTAAATTCTGAGCAGCCCAGGAGGGGTTCTTCTCTCTTAGGTACCACCGAATCGTTGAGCACAAAGTTAGTTCTGAAGGCCGTCTAGTCCAACCACCCTGCACAAGCACAACCAGCCAGAGCAGGTTGCCCTGTCTGTATTCACTTGGGTTTTGAATATCTCTGTGGATGGAGACTACACAGCCTCTCTGGGAAACTTACGACAGTGTTTGACTATCCCTACAGCAAACCATTTTTTTTCTTGTGTTTAAAGAGCATTTTTTGAATTTCGTTTTGTGTTCATTCCTCTTGCCACTGGAAATCTCTTAAGAATTGCCTGGCTACCTCTTCTTTACCCCCTCCCATCAGGTTATTATTCCTCCTGATATTCCTTCTCTTATTTCTCTATGCTTCAGTTGTTGAAGATTTCCTGTACTTATAAAAATGGTCAGCATACACTTGGGTCACTTTGGTCTGAAATATGACCTCAATTTCATGAAACCGTGATTCAGATAGCTGTTCATTGCAAGACCTCTCTGTGCCCACCTGGGACCTTCTGCTGTGTAAATATTTCTTTTATCCATGTAATATCACCTTACAGGTTTGACACTTCTCGATGAGGATGACAGGCACAAATGTGCCCTTTGAAAAATCTTTTTTATGTGGAAGTTGGATGATGTCTAACTATGACACATGAATTGGAATAAGGTCACTTGAGTTCTGCTCTCTGTCACAGATTTTTTGTATGACCCGAAATGTCTCATTAGCAAGTGACCAAAAGCCTGCTGGGAGTCTTTTAATTTGCCTTAATGGGCTTTGAATTAGGTGCTTAACTTTCTCAGACTCACTGACCAATTTATATAAAGGAGCTGGTGTTATTTGCCTATCTCATTGGGCTGTCACAAAGTGAAATACACTACTACAAAGGAGTTTGGGATCACTGAGTAGAGAGAGCTATTCAAGTGCAAAGCATTATATAAACCTTTCGAAGCAGTAATAAAAGTGCTAGCATTTCCCTGAAAAACTATGATTTCTTTTCACCTTTATATTTCTAGAAAGACTTGCCATTTCATGTGTCCCAAAGGAATACAGCATCCTCTGAAGCATTCAGGGTCCAGTCTAGCGTCATATCTCAGTGTCCTATTCCATAGGACAGTGTGAAGGAAAAGACTGCTTCCACAGTGCTGAATTTAAACTCCTGTGAATTTAAACCAGGGTAACAGGGGCGTCTCATAAAGTGTTATGGGAACATGACATGATGTTACAAAGGGAATAGGGAAAAGATTCATACTTCTGTGTTATTTTATAGAAGTGATATTATAAACAGGAGCTTCTGAATATTTATAGAATTAGGTGGAAAGGAGACTTTCCTTTTCAGGTAATCAGGGGAAAAAAAAAGGAAGGAATAGCTTAACTTTTACCTGCTAGATATGATACGATACGGAAAAAAATAAAGATTTTGTGAAAAAATCATTGTAAATAAAGTTGGAAATGCAATCATTTTCACCCCCTGCTTTTATCTTTCCTTTTTTCTTCATGTGTTTGCAATAGGATAACTTAGTTTAAAAAGTCTTAAATAGTATTTTTTTTTGTATTTGCTGCTGCTTTTGCCTGGGGCTAGATGCAGTTTCAAAATGAGATGGTATCTTCATGTGTATACAGTCTGACTAAAACCAAATGTACCTCTTTTAGGCACAAGTCTGGTATATGTTTTAATCACCGACCAAATGTTATTCAGTATTTTGGTATTTACTCTTATTAAAAAGAAAAAGAAAGAAAAATCAAATCTGGAGCAAAGCTCTAAACTGTGTCAAGTTCAGCCACTGCTACATCGTCTCCGTTTGATCTGACTTCTTGGAACAGTGGTTCCAGGCTTCAAATTGGAGAGGATGGACCAAGAAGGTTGTGGCACCTATTTGTTGTGAAGTAGCCATCAACACCAGTTTCCAGCCCAGAGAAGGATTTAAACTTGCACTACAGTCCAGAACACCTGGGCCTTTTCCTAAGCTATATCTTTCTTGTTTTAAATCTGTAAGAATTTGATAATTTGAACAAAAGTGGCAAAGCCTCCTCACTACACACAGCTGCTGTACAAAGGAAGGAAAAAGAAGAATTCCACTGTAACTTTTAATGAAATAAGTCTGTCCATATCTTTGTGATTCGTCATATCTGTCTGAAGTTCATTGCTAAGTTCCCCTGCTGGCTTGTGTGCTTCAGTATCTTAAATACTAACATTATAAATAATGTCATTGCCAAAAAAGCATCGCACTTTTATAATCCTGCTTGAAGGACCTGATGAGTTGGCAGTAATGAATAAAGCTACTTGAAGAGCGCAAGAACTTGCTAATCAGATTGTTAATTTAGTACAGGAGATTCACATAATACAAAGGCAAACTGTGAAGGTGACAATGATAGCCAGACTTCATCTGTTGAGCTGGAATTAACGATGAACAAAATCAAGATCCCTTTGTGGTTGATTCTTGTCCAGCTGCAGCCAACTATAAAAGACCCATCAAAGAAATCAACTCATTAGTTGGTAATTCTGTACAACTTCAAAAAGAAACTCTTAACCCCTCATCAGTCCTTCTCTGACAACCCCTTAAAAGCTGTGTTAGAAACAAAAAAAAAAAATCAAACCAAACCAGACATTATTTGCTTCATCAACTCAAAGAAATGACCTGCAGGAACATAATGTAAACTGAAGCTTTTAAAAACAGATTTATCCATAGGTAGAACAGTCCAAGTGCAAATATATTGTGACATGCAAAATCTCCCCCAGTCACCCATGTCACACAGTGTCAATAGCCTGTCTGCTTCACAGAAAAACTACCCTCAGATTTAAGCAATTTTAATATTGTAACAAAACCTGACAAACCCCAGTGAATTCAGAAATAGGGCTGCCACTGTGTCCTTATTGCACTGTCATTTCATCTGTAACTCTCTCCACTGGGGGAAGTTGCCAAACCAAGGGTGAATTAAGGAATATGTCTGTATAAAGTTGGAAAACAACGTGTTTTCAGGGCAAGGCTTCATAGGATATGAACAGTCCATTCTGTCGTCTCATTGCCACTGTAACATCTCATTTATGTCAGTGGGACTGCTATGATAAAGGACTGCAGGCCTGGACATTTAGTTTATATTTTTAAGGTTTGATTTTATGAGATAGTATGCAACCCTCAAAAGATATTTTATTGAACTGACAAAAATGCCTATTAAAGCTCTTACAACATCCATCTTGTAGGCTTTCAGACAATCTAAAAAATTATTAGGTACGTGAGTGAAAGACTAGCTTCCTAGGAAGCCTTAGTTTGGAGAGTCTCATGAATGATGTGTGATTATATAGATATATTAACAGAGGCTTGTTAATGGTACGTTTATGATTTCTGTTTTAAGACTCTGCATGTTGTTTTGTGTGCTGCATTAGGGCACATAACATCTTTTAGAAGAAAATGGTAGTTGCAGAAAATTAAATAGGATGGGGAAATATCCCAAAGATGTTACTTTGATCAGCAGTAACCTATGTACTAAATAGTAGACAGCAATTTTAAAATACTTTTTGCTTTATTTAGCTCTTTTCCACTGTTATAATTTGTCTTCCAAATAGATATTTTGCAGGAGGCACTATGCGCATGTTGGTTTGTTTTTTAAAATTTAGGTAGAAGATTCAATGTTTAGAGGTTTTGTTTGCTGGTTTTTGAGAGGCAGACTGATGTAATTGAACATGACCCCTCCTATAATGAGTCTTACCTCTGTTCTTCTGGGGTAACTCTGACAGAGTTTAGAAGACACCTGAAAAAAAGATGAAAACAAGCAATTCAGTATGCAGACAGTGGTTTTAGGCCAGCATTCAGAGGCCAACTCACATTTGACTTGTGACTGTTGAAATCTGTAGTTTTCTCAGTGGCAAATGCAGGTGACTCCTCCTAATAAGGAACTCTGTTGAATCCAAGATAGGATGATGCCTTTCTTTCTTCCCTGTTTGCTAGTTGCTAAAGCATGGGTCTCTGGATGATGGGGAATGCATGACTCCTGTTGCAGAGCCAACACTGTTTGTAACCTCTTTGTAGAAAGGTGGTGCGCAGAAAACAGAGCAATTGCTCAAGAAGATCAGTTTTGTGTGACACTTGTAATTCAGTTTTATCCCACTTTTTAACCCTGCTTTTCATGAACCTTGTTCATGAAGGCCATCACTGCATTTAAAACAGAAACATTCTTGGCTAAAAATCTCTATGCAGCAGTTGGAAACATCTGTGTGAGAGAATGATATTAATGCTTATTCCATGACTAATTATGGCTTATGTGAATGTGACTGCTGAACAGAGTGGACAAGTGGCATGCCTGAAACTTGAAATAAAATGTCTCTGGTTTATCTCTGGGAATCAGCTTTGAGACTGAAATCAACAGGCTCTTGAGTCTCGTGAAGATTTTCAGACAGCCCCATCAGAGAGCTTGTGGAGAGCCAAATGTGATGCTTTCACCTGGAGGACCCAGTCTGCCTTCTGACTAGGTCTAGTTCCTCAGCAAACACAAAGGAGAAGTGGCAATATTGAGAGAAAATGAAAAGTAATTCAAACAGGAAGAAAATAGGTAAGTGGGCACATATCGGTGTGAGGGAAACATTTTGTACCACAATGTGTTCCTTCCTGCTGGATTCACAGTCTGCAAGTGAGTCTCCTATAATTAACACATTGCTGTTATCAATAAATGCTATGAAGTGGGACCAGAGAGAATTGGCAAAGCTGCTGCTGCTGCTCACGTAAAGGCCTCCCCAATCAAAGAAGTCTCCCACCACGCCAAGGAGCCGGCAGAAGCAGAAGAAAAAGACACCAAGAGTTGGTATTCTGGGTGTGAGCTTCCCGCAGCAGTGCCGTTTCTCCTGGCTTCCGTTCAAGCCATGTTGGCATGTGCTGTCTCTTAGCAACTGCCAGCCGGATGCTCCCGGCCGGCCGGCAGCGACGTGAGGATCGGCCACCCGGCTTCGGTGGTGGTGGAACCCTGCCTGGCCTCCTCAGCTCTTGGAAATTACCTGCTGGAAATAATCTCTGTTTTCCATGGAAATAGGTTCTGTTGGCTCAGACTAGTGAATCCGAGCTGCTCATGGAAGCAGACAGACACCAGTCATGGCTGGAAAGGCATAGAACTCTGGATGACATATGTCATAACCCATCTGGTTGCTCCCACCTGATGAAGAGCCTCACTTGGGCTTTACAGCAGCTTCCTATGTGGGCTAACACGTCAGTGCATGATTTGCGCATGTTGAACAAGAACTTCTACAAACGTTACATATGTTATGAAGATATTTACAAAATCACTTTGCTTTTAATTTTAGTTAATTGTTTGAGCTTTGTTATTTGATTTTTGTTTTCAGGATGTTTTGATCCCCCCTATAGCGGTAGAATTTCTCCCTGTACAGTTATTGATGCTTTATGAATTTTATTCTTTTTTTTTTTTTCCTCTTATTTTCTTCCAACCCCCTTAATTTTTAAAATGTTAAGTCCAGCTTCACAGCTCCCCATGAGAGCTGCTGGGCCACATCTCAAAGCAGCAGTGTCCAAAGGCAGGTTATGTAGGTTCTTGCCTTTTTCTGTGCTTGATCTTCACTGTGCTAGTCAGTATCAGCCATCAAAAATGAATGCAGTAATGCTTATGTAAATGTGTTTCTTTAGTTTAACTTTCCAACCTTGAGTAGTTTTTTATAATTGCAATGATAGGGCAATTTAGATATATTCTATTTTGCTATGCGATGTTTTAGAGGTTATTTGAGTGCTTTTGCACACAGCATACTAAATGACATTTTAGTAGTGAGACCACTGATAAAAACAAGATTCTTTTTTTTCCTAGAAAGTGCATGTCATTGGGGAAATAAATGTCTTTGCACCATGACGTGACTCAATGCTAAAAACATCTAGGAAGTTTATAGTCCCTAGGGATCTAGGCATCTGCTTTGCTTTACAATGTCTCTGTTATTAAAAGTTCCTGAACAGGAGAAAATGATGATTGAGATCATTGCAATGATCTAGAATTGACTCTTTGGGCTGTGGTTTCCCCTAAGTCATGCTTCTTACCATACCATCTTCCTGAAAGCCCAAGTAAGAATATTTTCTGGCATCAGTCAATGAAATCTCATTTCTGCTCCCACTGGGCCTCTTTACATTTTGATGCAGAAGCTGAAAAGGCTCCCAAAAGCTCTTAGGCTCTTTTCTGCCCGTTGGTGGAAGCTGAATCACTTAACTTGCTCTTAACAATTTTGAAAATAGATTAGTGATTTTCTTATTTCCTTGTTGAAGGTGGGGAGTGTTTAATAGTACTTGCTGTGGCAAGCAGAGTCAAGATAGGTGCAAGCTGAACACATGGGACAGGGCTGAAGAGTTCTATTTATACCAGGGAGGGAAAAGAAAAAAAAGCTTGTAATTCATAAAGCCCTCAGTGAGTCACTAAGGTTTTCCTTTATGGGCAGGATAAAGTGAACAGCTGTTCTACTATATTCCATTTGCTTGAGTCAACAGGCCCATTCTAATAGTTTGTTGATTATCTTACATTTTGTCAATATTGTGGTATGATTTCAGTGTTTGTTTTATCATTATGCAGATTGACATTGTTTTATTTTGTGAGCTATGATGAGATAGCACTTAGGGTACAATGATAAGAATGGTTTATTGTGAATAACCATTTTTAGCAGATTGTTTTGTAGTAGCTACTGCCCTCCTCTAGCTATTTAATGATTTTTGCTTTATGCTTCTCTCTTGTGTCCCAAATCAAAACGATGTTTTTTCTGGCAGTCAGTGTTTTAAGCCATTGTCTCTATCACATGTGGTTGGCTCTTCTTCTTAAGAGGAAAACCATATTATCTCTCTCCTCTTGAGATAACTGCTTCCTGTGCCCTAGGAAGTGCATTTGGAGTGTCCTGATATGGAAGTGGTGGCATAGCTCTCTGGGCTGCAACTGCTGCTCTCATTAATACTCAGGCCTGGAATATGCTGGAGAAGAACTGAGTGATGACATGGAAGTATGGAGTATCATCATCACACGCAGATTCTGTGTTAGAAGCTCAGGGGAGAGTGGTGGCCATTCTTGCCATCTCCAATGGGCACAGTGTAGAACTAATTTTGAAGTCCTTGGCTGGTTAGGATATAATCTGTGATGTGTGTCAGTAACTGATGCATTTACCTGTTATGGGGATATGAGATGCTTAACGAGTTCTAGAAGACCAGCTATTAAGTACCTGGTGGAAACAGAAGAGGCTGTATTGTATAAACATTCAAGGAGGCATGTGATGCAGAGATCACCTCCCAGTAACTGAGTTTAGGTTTTTATTGCTGCCAATGGAAGGTCAGATTTACAAATAATTAGTAAGATTCTGGATTTGAACCTCAATTATATATTCAGCCCTAACTTGCTTCATTCTATCTTGTTCCTATAGACATACTCTACTGGAAACATATGAAAAAGTTCCAAACATAAATGGCACATCCCTAATAAATACATGATTATGGTGGGAGCAGCAAGAATATTTTCCTGTTTTCTTTCAGGTAGTGTTTTGCAAGTGTTAGCGATTTTCACAACAGTTCAGAATTCCCATGCACCTCTGTGGTGATTTCCCTCTGGCACTCATAAACCCACTTTCTGAAATTTCTTATGTATTTTTAACTGTACTAGTAGAAATATTCAATTCATTTGATGTGCATAAAGCATACTACATTGTTAAACCATTTTAAACTTCAGCAGCGACAGCGAGTGCAGGAGCATCAATAATAGTCATGTACTTTGTTTTGCCATTTCAAACTGCCCACTTTATTTATCTAAGATGTTCCAGTATCTTCTATCACTCTAATCATTAACAAATTTATGTTACTCTTTTACCTTTTCATGTTTGCTAGGGCAAAATATGTAATAATAATCTGTAATTAAACCTTCCTCAACTTACTTTATCACTGTACAGCTTCTCTATACATTTTCTTCTTTCCACCGTCCATCATATGATGGAACGGACAGAAAGGAAAGATAATGCTTAAGGTGCATAAATACCCATATGCAAATTAACCTGAAATTAATCTGGAATCCCCTCACAATATTAAATTAAATTTTAATGGAGCTCTCAAGTTTTAGGATGTTAAACCTCATTTGGTTGAGATTTGAATAGAGCTATTGATGTTCAGGTTCTGCAGTGATAGTATATTTGATTAGGAAATGAAAAGTTTTTTGGCTTAAAGTAGCATTACAAAAAAATTGTGTGTTATGGTGAATCATCAATAACATAACAATCAGAATGGCATCAAACTTTTTACCTTACCAGGAGTGAAATGTGGTCAGAACAGGACCAATTTCTTCCACAGTGTTTTCTTTAAGTCAAAGGGAAAGCAGGCTTTTCCAGCATAAAGGAACAAATTAGGTTGCTGAGAGAAGGGAATGATTTCTAAACTTTTACAGGAATGCGTGATTAGAGTCCAGCTGCAACTTCTGGCTTGTGTTTGAAATGACAGTGAATGTCTTCAATCCAGGAGATTACAGGGAATGTGACAACGAAAAGCAGGGATTTCCTCCCTAATTTCAAATACACTTCAAAAGAATGGCATAAGTGGGAAATATTTTTTGCTTCTAAGTTTTGGGGAAATTTTTTTCATGATGGAAAGTGGAAGTGGCTGAAGGAGAGTTTCTTTACTAGTTAATATTGTATAAAGAAACTTCAATTAGACTTCCACTTATAGACAAACTTGCTGAATGTGATGAGCATGTGACTGACTATTTTTGTGGGCCATTCCAGCCTCAGAAACTTCTTTGGTACTTCATAAAAAAGGATACAATGAAAAAATAGTCTGAAACAAAAATCCTGTTCATTTCCTTATCAGGTACAAACCAGCAGAAATTACCATTAAAAAAAAACAACAGGGGTTTCAGGGACTTAATGAAAGCAAATTCATTAAAAAGGTAAATAACGTTATAAATAAACCATACGTCTCATTTTACTTTCAGTTGTCACAGCCGTTTCTCCATTTCTCTCTTCCTCTGCTGAGGCCTTCTGGCTTTCTAATTTTACATATGAATTTGTAAGCTGCTCTGAAAACTTATTCCTCTTTCCAGGCTGTGGGGAACCATGCATCAAACCACAAGCTATTGCTATAAAATACTGATAACAATAACAACAGCAACGACAACAACAATAATAATAATAACAGCAACAACAACAATAATAATAATAATAATAACAACAACAGCAACAACACCTCTGTACAGTGTTTCCTGTTTTGCAATTATGGACCAACTAAATCCTTCCAAAAACTGTAACTCCTCCAAGAAGTAAGATAAGGCATCTGATCTGTCCTGGGTTTTGGCTAACCATGAGAGACAAAGTAGACGAAGTGGTGATCAGCTGGAGCCTGAGGCCACACTTATCTGCTGGCAAAGGGAAGACATGGACAACTGAGTGGAAAGGGCAGCAACCACCACACTGGTGCTTTGGGTGAATGGTTACCAGCATCTGCTCAAACACTGGTCTCCTGTCACATCATGCAGCTTCCTCCCCATTTTTCCCCCCTACCTTCTCTTTTCTTGTTTCATCTATGCTTGGCTGGTATGGATGGGGAGGAACTGTACAGCTGGACAAAGTTCAGAGCTAACAGTGGGTGCCTGGCTCCACTCTGCACTTGTTTGTAGGAAGATGTAGAGAGTTTTCATGAATGTTCTGTGTTTCCCATCTTAGCCTGGATACTTTGGTCACTTCCAGCCATTCTAAAGTCCCCACAGCAAAATATAGTTCTTAATTTTTGGTCTCTGAAAAGACGTGAAGCTCCTCTGTATTCAAGAGAATGCTAATGATCTGTGATCTTGGGTGTTAAAGGAAAGAAACAATTGCATGGTTTTTACTGTTGTTGGTGATACTGAAATGAATTGCATTAAGCACTGTTTATA